TTAGTTATTTGAGAATAAATTATTATTATTATTATAAGAGATTAAAGATACAAAAAGACAACCCACTTACACCCTTACTTAATATGAAGCTAGGCTGTCGAGATGAGATAGTGGACTTCGAAATCATTGAATCATTGCAGTAAACTAACGCAGGGAGTTAGTATTTTTTGAGTCATGGTTGGTCAGTTCACGAAGTAATGTGAGTCGAATCCTCTAAAAATTACAGATGCTCAAACCGAAGCAGAAGCCGTACCTGAAACCTTATTCTCTATTTGGGGTTTCCTGGTCTAATTACTTTCAAATTTAGGTAGGTTCTATCAAACACATAATTTTGATAGAAATATGTCCAGCGTCGGAAACCCGAAACACATGAGCAACTGCCTAGTATCCAGAATGAACTAGGCTTGTTGAGTGAACCAGTAGGACTCCTAAGGCGATACAAAAGGCAATTATTAAGCAGAAGAAAGCTGGATGATAGGACTTGGCTTCAAACAGATGTTTACTGAAACACTTTTATAGCATCCATACATCTTGAACAACACTTTATTTACATGGGTCAGCGGTGCGTATTGATGTTCCGATTGATTTATTGTACGGAGAACCTTTGTTAGTACCAGGCACTGTCGGGGTGCCCCGGGAACATATTTCGAAGAATCATAATTTGGTTCGCACACCGTAAGGGTTAGCACAGAAAACTCAGGAGGAGTTAAAACTACTATTTCTGTGCTGCTGTTGAATTGGTATTGTCTATTCTGCAACAAAAAGTTTCTTCCAAAGAAGATCATTGAAATAGCCTGAGCACAAGGCTTAAGGGAAAGCTGATTGATGTAATCTTATCAAGAGGTAAATATAGAAAGATGTTTGACGAAAAATTATTGACTAACTGAATAACTGGATAGATATCTTCACTTCAACAACTGCAGTTAATCTAGTGCTAGTTAAGCGGCAAATTTATGCACAATTACTGTTATTATTATTCATCAGGGCATTTACTCCAATGGTGATGCGATAAGACTGATAATGGAGAAGAAAAGGGAGCGAAGATATGACTCGAGAAGGAGAAAGGTAGAGATTATGAGGAATTCAGAAGCTTATAATTTCATAGCACACAATGAGTGGATGCACCTGCGCCATTGCAAACGACTCTGAGCCATGTCGTTCAAGTTCTCTAACCGTCAGTGACTGTCGTCTCGCGGACCCCAACCAGGTAGCCTACATCTACCAACATGACTCAGTCCACTTGTCAGTGACTTCATGGATTTCTGCCACGTTTTGGTTTGGCCGCC